CAATTATATCAGATCACAAAATGGAGGACAACCACACAATACTGGGAATCCTGGCCTAGCCAAGTTAACACATATTTTTGGGGAACACAGTTCAATCTATGGCAACAAGAGAGACGCGTGATACACTGATGCGTGCTGGAAGCTGTTGTGTTCTCTACGTCCAGTAACATCCGCTACATCCCATTCTCTGATCTGGAGTTCTGAACTCTGTTATAACCTTATGGGACCATGGACATGTATGTGGTCAGACAGTGCCCGAACAGACATTATCTAGCACATGACTGTAATGAGGTGGGGGAGGGAAGGAAGCCTTTCTTCTGGGTAGTTCCGGAAGGGTGTTGCTAAATTCTTGCTTATCTACTTTCCTAATTTAAGCAGCATGCAAAATAAGTCTCTTACCTTAACCCAGCATTTCTTCATACGGGATAGAGTTTACTTGAGTAGGCCTCAGCCTTAGTACTGCTATTTCAGTCATACTTAGTCCATAGTCCATGCATTTTAATTGGAATTTGAGGAGATGTCCTTACTAGAACAACTCAAAGATTATAGCTTTGATTAGGTTATTTCTTCAGGTAACTTTTTTTTTAAAATATTTTATTGTATTTAAGGTGAAAGTTTACACAGCAAATTAGGTTCTCAGTTAACAATTTCTACACAAATATTCAGTGACATTAGTTACATTTTTTGACAATGTGTCGTCAATCTCATTTCTGTCATTCTGGTTGTACCATTTCCAGTACTCTAGTTTCCCTGCCCCGTACTCATCTTTGCTTTAGAGCAATTTTTGACCATTTGGTCTTATATAAATGAGTTTTTAAAGGAGCATATTACTCATAGGTGATATTCTTTATTTTATGAGCCAATCTGTTATTTAGCTGAAAGGTAAATTTCAGCTGAAAGATAATTTCAGCTTAAGGTTTAAAGAGTATCTCAGGGCAGTAGTCTTAGAGATCTGTCTTCTAGTCTCAACTGGTCCAGTAGGTCTGGACTTTTTAAGAAGTTGTGTTCTGTTCCACATTTTTCTCCCATTCTATCAGAATCTATCTACTGTGGCCCTGGTAAGAACAGTCTGTAGTGGTAGCCGGGCACCATCTAGTTCTTCTGGTCTCAGGGTAGATGAGGCCATGGTTCATGTAGACCGTTAGTCCTGTAGACTAGTTTCTTCTCTGAGTCTTTGGTTTCCTTCTTTTTCCTTTGTTCTGGGTAGTAGAGACCAATAGTTGTATTTTAGGTGGCTGCTTGTAAGCTTTTAAAACTCCAGACACTACTCACCACATTGGGATGTAGAACATATACTTTATGAGCTATATTATGCCAGTTAACTGAGTTGTTCCATGAGACTATGGCCTAAGCCTTCTAATACAAAATATATTGTATTTTTCCATGATTTCTTTTCAAGAATTTACTCTTTCTTGTTTTGGCTACAACTACATTTGTAGAATAGAAAGGCTTGTTCAGGACTTTTAAACCAGTATTGAAGTTCTACATCATGTTATAAAATTCTAGGTATCCTAGCTGAAGCAAATGACAGTCCTGTGGAGAGAAGAATAGCCTACCTATAAACAAGCTGATGAGAGGTGTATTGTGTGTTATTTTTTAAAAACTTCTTCATAAAGAAAACAAAGATATTTTCCTATGGAGATCTACAGTTAGGTTTGCCCCCCCACCCCCGGTCCCCTTCCCTAATTCTGTAGGCAACATCTCTTTTTATACTAAGTCTCTGAACAGTAGTCTCATGGATCAACCAACAGATATAATTGGAGGCATTTTACTTTTCCAGAACTCATAGTTTTCTGACTATTTTCTACTGGGTTTCTTCAGATTATGGTATTTTGTAATGAACAGGGAAATCAGATTGAATAGGATTAGATTATCCACTGGATTATCGCAAACTAGGCTGTTTGCTTCTAGTTATTCACTCAGTTTCTCTGAATCTCGGTTTATTTTATTTACCAGTGCTGCTATAACAGAAATACCACAAGTGGACAGCTTTAACAAACAGAAGTTTCTTTTATCACCCTCTAGGAGGCTAGAAGTCCATATTCAGGACTCCAGTTCCAGGGAAACACTTGCTCTTTCTGTTGGTTCTGGGTAAATAAAGGTCCTTGTCATCAATCTTCCCTTGATCTAGGAGCTTCTCAGCACGGGGACCCTGGGTCCAAAGGATGTGCTTCGCTCCCAGTGTTTCTTCTTGGTGGTATGAGATCCCTCTCCTCTCTGCTCTTTTCTCTTTTTATATCTCAAAGGAGACTGACTCAAAATACAACCTAATCCTGTAGATTGAGTCCTGCCTCATTAATATGACTGCGTCTAATCCTACCTCATTAACATCATAGAGGTTAGGATTCACAACACATAGGAAAATCACATCAGGTCACAAAATGGTGGAGAACCACATAATACTGGGAATCATGGTCTAGCCAATTTGATACACATTTTTGGGGGACACAATTCAATCCATAACAATTTCTGTCTCATTTCATTTAATGTGAATACGGTTTGTTTCTAATAGAATATTGGAAAGGTCAAACTCTTGCATTCTTATCATAAGTCCAAACTGGGTTATGCATTTTAATGATCACTGGTCCTTCGCAGATTGCTTGTATTTTAAGAATATTTGCCGTTTCTAAACTAATGTAGTTATACATGTTTGAATGAAGCAGTCTTTTGGGAATTCAATCTAGTCCCAGATAGTCTGTTCTAGCATAGTCATGTGACCAAGGTATAAATTAAATTTATTGTCAAACAGCAATTGGAAAGTTAAATTGCAAATTTCAAGGACTAATTTATAAAGAAAGGATCCAAGTTTTATTTATTTTTTAACCTTATCATGTGTGTTATGGATCGTAATGGCTGGAAGAAACAAGGTGACCAGTAAAGTCTATGATTAAGAATATTAATCTTTGTCAGTGTTGATAGAAATTCATTATATTTGTGGTTAAAAATTGTAGGTTCATTTTAGGTAAATAATGTACCAGAATCACATTTTTTTCTTTTAAATATATGTATAACATAGTTTTTGAGTCCCAACCACACTGTAATATTTTGCACTGTCATCTCTCCTTGATTTTATGAACTCTGAAAGAAAGAGCTTAATTACATTTTCTTAGGACACTTACGAGTCAAAACTGGAACCACAGGAAGGGCTGGGAAGTTTCTAGTGAAGTGGAGAACTACCTTATAAATGTACTATGTCAGCAGTTTTTCAAAACGAAATGTTTTAATTTACTGTTTGTCAGCCATTGCTGGAGTCATGGTGTCTGCTTTGAGGACAGAAAGGATTGTTTTAATTTGATCTCTGACTAATGGTTTTTAATTGACTTAATGTCAAATGTAAGTATGTCTGATATTTTCTCTTCTTTTAAGGAATTTTTCAAGCCATAATCTCTTTTTATTGTCTGTGCTGCAGTGTTCTGTTGAATATATTTTTATTTTCTCAATTTCTTAATGACTATGGAAATACTAACTTGAAAAGTTGAAATAAAGGATAGCATACTCATTTAAAAAAAAAAAAAAAAAAAAGCCTTTTCAAATATTAAGGGCAGTCCATGAGTAGTTGTCCTGGTGGAGGAATAAGACACCTTGAACATGAGATTTCTATTATAAGTATTAAACATAGAAATGTAATTTTGCTATTATAAATTATTACAATTAATAAAGTATAAGTATGAAGTATAACTTTGAGCCCTCAAGTAATCATTCTAGATAGCCTTAAGTTTTTCAGATAAGGGTGTAGCTTCAAGTCATCATTTTAATTAAAAAAAAATTTTTCAGGTGGAAATTTTTAAAATATATGCTTCCTTTATTAATCAGAATTTATTGAACTTAATTTAAATATTGGGATGATTCATCAGAGTCATCATTCTATGCATAAAGTACAGGAATGCATTTACTATCCTTGAGGGTAACGTGATATATCTGTAGCAGAGGAATCCAGACTTCCCCAGTTTCTGATTTTCCATTTTTTTCTGTTGTGGATATGGAATTATCTGTAAAACAAGAATAAGGAGGTGCTAATAATGACCCTCTCCACCTCTTTAGTCTTTTCCTCTACTGGAACAAATCTTCAAGCAAGGTCTGTACATTTGTCTTAAATTCCTCAACCACAATATTGCCCCCCACTCCAAAAAACGACAACAACAACAAATCCATTGCCTTCTACTCAATTCCAAGTCATAGTCACCCTAGAGGACAGAGTAAAACTGCCCCATAGGGTTTCCAAAGCTGTAAATCTTTATGGAAGCAGATTGCCATATCTTTTTCCCCCGTGGAGAGGCTGGCAGGTTGGAACTGCTGACCTTTTGGTTAGCAGCCCAGTGCTTAACCACTGATCCACCAGGGCTCATCCAATTACCATAGCAACATAAAGCTTATCAGGGTTGCTGTGACAAAAATGTCAATAGATGGTGCTTCACTATTATGTTTTCATTGTATGGACAACTGTGATCATGTGCTTTGAATTCCAAACAATTCTGTATTAGTAACAGCTCACAATTCATTTCAGGAAACATTTGTAAGCATGTATGTATTCACTAATGAAGGGATAAAAGGTAACTAAAACCACAGTTAATTCTCTCCAAAAGATTATAATCTTAGAATGTGAAAAGTCATGTTATTGGCTAACTGAAATGCACTTTCCCCTAAGCCCCATACTATAATAATACTCAGTCTGAATAAGTATACCAAAAAACCAAACCCATTGCCGTCAAGTTGATTCCGACTCATAGCGACCCTATGGGACAGAGTAGAATTGCTCCATAGAGTTTCCAAGGAGTGTCTGGTGGATTTGAACTGCTGACCTTTTGGTTAGCAGCCATAGCACTTAACCACTACATCACCAGAGTTGCCGAATAAGTATAGGCAGACCTAAATTTTTATTTAGTCACATACATATACGTTTATATAATATATATATAATTGTATGTATGTATTTAAGTATTAATAAATAAGTAAATATTTTGGCCTTATTTCCATCTAACATTTTCTGTTTTATTCAACAGAAATCTTCTGGACAGAGACACATTTTCAAAATCTGATCCAAGTAAGTATCTATAGCTTGCTTTTTAAAATAATCTGCTTACTTTGCCTACTTGATTTTTGTAAGCGTTGTTTGAAACTCATCGATCTTGTTCAAGTATTTGTCTCAAAGCCTAGCGTGCAAGAAGGGGGATGGTCCCAAGTCTTGGGCACTCACCTACTTGGGCAGTGCTATGGCTAAAGAGGGAGTTGCTTGCACCTTGAAAATAAGACGTAAGTGTGTATGACTCCCAACATAGGGCAGTTCGCTTTGAAATTAAAACCTCATGGTATGGCCATATTATAGAAATGATATATGACAGATAATTATAGTTGACCATAATTTTAAGTGATTTAGTCACAGAGTACTCTTTTTATTTTTTAAATAAAAGTGGTATATAAAGGCATACACAACCCAGTGAAATTTAAAACATTCTCTCATGAGCTAAATTTTTTTATGCCTAATTAGAGATCTCAAAAGTTGCAGAGGATTTGGAAAAATGAAAAGGGCAGATTTGAATTAGAAAACAGCAGAATTAATTGTAGAAATCAATTAGTGTTTTTAAATCTTGTAATATTTGGAAATTGATATCCAGCAGTTCTCCATCTCTTCGAAACAAATGAGGGAACAAATGTAGTTTAATTACAGAGGAAAGGTTTTTGTCAGAGGTACGGTGAATTCCTGAGGTAGTCATTGTGGGAAAAGACATAACAATTTTTGAGTATTAAAAAATTCTCGATTCATAGGGAAATAATCAATTTATTTGACAAATAGATGGAACTCTTATTATCCTTTAATCTTTACCGAAAACTTTTAATCTCCCTTTTTGGACTTCCTTTCATGTTTGAGAAGATTTCTGACCTGTTTATAAATGTAGATGGTGGGAGTTACAAATATTAAACATAGAGTATGATTTGCCTGTGGTGATCGTTCCTATGATGGCTCTGAGTACTGTAGGTGTGTTGGGACTTATGTCTAGTAACATACTGAAATACTTAAAAACTGTTAAAGCTTGGTTTTAAATTTATCTGTATTTGTAGCATAATGTAGATGAAGGCATTAGCAAGTAATTAATTGTATTTATGTGCCCAGCTCTGTGCACATTAAGTCCTCAAAACCTGGTTTGATTTGTTTTCTCTTTCTTTATAATAATTTTTAAACATTTGATACTTTATTAGTTTTACAAGAGTAAGACTAGGAACTAGGCATTTATCTGTTGTAGCTTTTGGACAGCTGAAAAATAAATTGTATTGTGTGTGTGTATAAACATTACACCTGATGTTTAAAAAAGAAATTTATAAATATATTATGTATTTTTTCATCTTTTCTAGTTTGTGTCTTATATGTACAAGGAATGGGAAGTAAAGAATGGAGGGAGGTAAGAATTAATTTTTTTTAAAAGGTCACTACAGAAAGATATAAGTTGTAACTTGAGCAAGATGATACTTTATTGCTTTTAGTTATTTTATGTCAACTCAAAGACCGAGCTTCTTTTTCATTTTATGAAAGTTATCTTTTTCTTTTGTTTTTTAATAATCCTGAATGTTTGGCTTGTTTATGACCTTCCTATGGAATATTCTAGCTTTGAAACTTGTGCTTTCCTCAGTCAGAAGTAAATTTAATATGTTGCAAACTATTTGGCATGATTACCTACGTAATTTAAGTCTGTGAACTTAGTCTCCCTTTTAGGGGTCAACTGCTGATTTTCAAAAAATACCACTTTAAAAGGTTTTATGTCTGGTGCTTTATATCAAATATCACCTGTTTTTTACAATATCTCTACATTTCAATTGAAGACTGATCCCTGGGGAGTAGGAAGGAGGTATTACAATAAGAAACGTTTCCATATGCCTGTAGTTGCTAGTTATGTCAGGAAGTTAGTGCTCTGATATAAAGAGGTTACAGTTCTGGCTAGATTTCCCTGTGCCCTAGTGAGATTCATGCTTTGTGTTGCCACAGCAAGCCATTTTACCAGTCTGTCCCATTAGTGAGCTAGAGGGTAAGAATAAATCATTGTAATTTATTATTAAAAGTAGGGAAAAAACAATTAAAAAATTTTTCTGGTAGGGGGCCAGTGGTCATTGGAATACTGAGTACCAGTCTCTCATATCTGCCTCCCTCTACACATTTACATGAAGATGTTCCATAGTGGCGCAAGCGATTTGCACTTGGCTACTAACCAAAAGTCTGGTGGTTCAAACCCACTCAGCGATGCTGTGGAAGAAAGACCATATATTTAAAACTATTAAAAACACTATGGAGTACAGTTTACTCTGTCATGTGTGTGGTCACCTTGAATCTGAGTAGATTTGATGGCAGTGGGTTTGGGTTATTGGATTCCATGTTATTGTTGTTGTTAGGTGCTGTCGAGTTGGTACTGACTCATAGCAATCCTGTGTACAACAGAACAAAATGGTGCCTGGTCATAGGCCATAATCATAATCATTGTTATGTTTGAGCCCATTGTTGCAGCCACTGTGTCAATCCATCTTTTTGAGGGTCTACCTCTTTTTCCCTGACCCTCTTCCTTACTAAGCATGATGTCTTTCTCCAGGGACTGGTCCTTCCTGATAACATGTCCAAAGTACATGAGACCAAGTCTCGCCATCCTTGCTTCTAAGGAGCATTCTGGCTGTACTTCTTCCAAGACAGACTTGTTCCTTCTTCTGACAGTCCATAGTATACTCAGTATTCTTTGCCAACATCATAATTAAAAGGCATCAATTCTTCTTCGGTCTTCCTTATTCATTGTTCAGCTTTCACATCCATATGAGGTGACTGAAAATACCATGGCTTGGGTCTGTTGCACCATAGTCCTCAAAGTGACATCTTTGCTTTTTAACACTTGAAAGAGGTCTTTTGTAACAGATTTGCCCAATGCAATGCATCTTTTGATTTCTTGACTACTGCTTCCATAGGCATTGATTGTGGATCCAAGTAAAATGAAATCCTGACAACTTCAATCTTTTCTCCATTTATCATGATGTTGCTTATTGGTCCAGTTGTGAGGATTTTTTATTTTGCACCTTGAAGTACAATCCACACTGAAGACTTTAGTCTTTGATCTTCATCAGTAAGTGCTTCAAGTCTTCTTCACTTTCAGCAAGCAAGGTTGTGTCATCTACACATTGCAGGTTGTTAATGAATCTTCCTCCGATCTTGGTACTGCATTCTTCTTCAAATAGTCCAGCTTCTCAGATTATTTGTTCAGCATACAGATTGAATAAGTGTGATTAAAGAATACAACCCTGATGCACGCCTCTCCTGATTATAAACCATACAGTATCCCCTGTTCTGTTTGAATGACTGCCTCTTGCTCTATGTATAGGTTCCTCATGAGCACAATTTAGTGTTCTGGAATTCCCATTCTTCGCAGTGTTATTCATAATTTGTTATGATCCACACAATCGAATGCCTTTACATAGTCAATAAGACACAGGTAAACATCTTTCTGGTATTCTCTGCCTTCAGCCAGGATCCATTTGACATCAGCAATGATGTCACTTGTTCCATGTCCTCTTCTGATTCTGGCTTGAACTTCTGGCAGTTCCCTGTTGATGTACTGCTGCAGCTGCTTTTGAATGATCTTCAGCAAAATTTTACTTGCGTGTGATATTAATAATATTGTTTGATAATATCTGAATTCTGTTGGATCACCTTTCTTTGGAATGGGCACAAGTGTGGATCTCTTCTATTCAGTTAGCCAGGTAGCTGTCTTCCTAATTTCTTGGCATAGACAAGTGAGCACCTGCAGTGCTGCATCTGTTTGTTGAAACATCTCAGTTGGTATTCCGTCAATTCCCGTAGCCTTGTTTTTCAATACTCCTTTCAGCACAGCTTGGACTTCTTCCTTTAGTACCATCCATTGTAGATCATATGCTACCTCCCGAAATGATTGAACGTCAGCCAAATCTTTTTCGTACAGTGACTCTGTATTCCTTCCATCTTCTTTTGATGCCTCCTACATCATTCAGTATTATCCCTGTAGAGTCCTTCAGTATTGAAACTGGAGGCTTAACTTTTTTCTTCAGTTCTTTCAGCTTGAGAAATACTGAGCGTGCACTTCCCTTTTCGTTTTCTAACTCCAGATCCTTGCAGATTTTATTATAATACTTTACTTTGGCTTCTCAAGCTGCCCTTTGCAATCTTCTGTTCCACTCTTTAGCTTAATCATTTCTTCTGTTCATTTTAGCTGCTTGATGTCCAAGGGCAAGTTTGCGTCTCTTCTGACATCTATTTCAGTCTTTTCTTTCTTTCCTATCTTTTTAATGACCTTTTGATTTCTTTATGTATGATGTCTTTGATGTCATTCCACAACTCGTCTGGTCTTCGGTCACTAGTGTTCAATGTGTCACATCTATTCTTGAGATGGTCTCTAAATTCAAGTAGGGTAAACTCAAGGTCATATTTTGGCTTTCATGGACTTGCTGTAATTTTCTTTAGCTTCATCTTGAACTTGCATATGAGCAATTGATGATCTGTTCTGCAGTTGACCCCTGACCTTGTTCTGACTGATTATTTTGAGCTTTTCCCTTATCTCTTTCCATAGATGTAGTTGATTTGATTCCTGTGTATTCCATCTGGTGAGGTATGTGTGTATAGTTGCTTTTTATGTTGTTGAAAAAAGGTATTGCAATGAAGTCGTTGGTCTTGCAAAATTCTATGATGTGATCTCCGGCATTGTTTCTATCACAAAGGCTGTATTTTCCAACTACCAATCCTTCTTCTTTGTTTCCAACTTTTGCATTCCAATTGCTAGTAATTTCAGTACATCTTGATTGCATGTTTTACCAATTTCAGACTGCAGAAGTTGGTAAAAATCTTCAATTTTCTCATCTTTGGCATTAATGGTTGGTTCAGAAGTTTGAATAATAGTCGTATTAACTGGTCTTCCTTGTAGGCGTATGAATATTATCCTATCACTGACAGCATTGTACTTCAGGATAGGTCTCGAAATATTCTTTTTGATGATGAATGCGATGCCATTCCTCTTCAGTTTGTCATTCCCGGCATAGTAGACCATATGATTGTCTGATTCAAAAAGGCCAATACCAGTCCATTTTAGCCCACTGATGCCTAGGATATTGATCTTTATGAGTTCCATTTCAATTGTGACAACTTCCAATTTTCCTGTATTCATACTTCATACATTTCATGTTCCAATTATAAATGGGTGTTTGCAGTTGTTTCTTCTTATTTTGAGTCATGTCACCTCAGCCAGTAAAGGTCCCGAAAGCTTGACTCCATCCACGCCATTAAGATTGACTCTACTTTGAGGAGAGAGCTCTTCCCCAGTAGTATTTTTAGTGCATTCCAACCCAGGGACTAATCTTCTGGCATTATACGAAGCAGTGTTCTGCAGCTATTCATAAAGTTTTCACTGGCCAGTTCTTTCAGAAGTAGATTGCTAGGTCCTTCTTCCTAGTCTGTCTTTGTCTAGAAGCTCCACTGAAACCTGTCCACCATGGGTGACCATGCTGGTATTTGAAATACCAGTTACATAGCTTCCAGCATCACAGCAACAAGCAACCCACCACAGTATGACAAACTTACAGATAGTTACCTCAGATTCTACATATCTAAATGTAAACTCATCACCTTTACCCCTATATGTATGCTTTCTTTGCTCTGAATACGGTTAATAACATTTGAAATATCAAACCATAATTTTTGCGATCATCCTTAATTTTCTCTTCCACACCTTTCTCATTTAATCAGTTATTCAATGCTAAGAATTATGTTTCGTAAAATATTCTCAGATAAGCCACCCCATTTATTCAGACCCATGTTATCTTTTGTCTGCCTTATTTCAACATGATGTTGTCTGGGTCCATGCCCCTCTGTCTCTTATACAACTGCCAAATTACACCTTTGGTTATTGTTATGGGTTGAATTGTGTCCCCCGAATATATGTGTTGTGATTCCTCAGTTTTACCCTGTGGTTGTAATCTTATTTAGAAATGAGTTGTCTTTGTTATGTTAATGAGACAGGATTAGTGTTGGGTGTGTCTTGAGTACATTTCTTTTGAGATATAAAAGAGTTTAAACAAGTATGTGAAAAGCAGAAATGGGGGAAGAGAGATGCCAAGCTACATAAAGATCACCCAGGAGCAGAAGCTCAGAAGAGTCAAGGGCTTCTCGTTTTCAAAGGGTGGGGCCATGGTCTCCTGGATCTGAAAGGGTGGGGCGGTTTCAAAGAGCTGGATCTTTATCAACTCATTTCCGGAGTGTGGAGCTGCAGTTAAGGTATGCCAGGGGATGGAGCCACCACCCAAAGCTGAAGTGGGGGCTGCCATGCCCAAGTGGCAGAAGAGTGGGGCCTACCAGGGCTAAGGGTGTGGAGTCACTGCTCAGATAGACAAGGTGATTGGGGCTGCA